CGACTGAGTGGTTCGCATCGCATCGCGGAGTCCAGCGCTCGTACCCCCCACATCCCTTCCGCGAAGCTCTCGGCCTTCCGCCCAGCATCTCCAGTTGCACTCCGTAACGGCCTCTTTCGCTCACCGGAGACCGCAGCACTCCTACGCGCCGAGGCGGTCGACCGCTTTCTGCGGTGGCGTGAGGTGGAGAAGGCAGTCGAAGGAATATGGGAAAGCAGTCTGAATACCAATGTCGGGAGTGGGAGGGGGACACTGAAAACAGGTAGCGGGAGACGCGTTGCTGGCTCTCGGAGAATGCCACATAGGTTGAGCGAGAGGGACTGGGGGCGGGGGAATTCTAGTGGAAATGCGGAGGACGCGCATCGTAGTCAACAGGCGACCTCTGAGAAAGGCGAAGGCTGGAGCAAGGCGAGGTGGGAAGCTGAGTGGATGGAGGACCATGCGCAGGAGGTCGCCAGGCGTGTGCGAGAGGACGCGACTAGGAAGTATGTCGTAGGGCGCTCGCGCACGGGGACTCTGCTGCAGAAGAACACCGATACCGGCGTACCCTCCACCACGGCCGTGGATTCCTCTGGGGGATCTGTGGACAGTGGGCCCGCGCACTGCATGGACGGTCCTCATGCACACGGACTGCACCCGTCGTTCGACCCGCTCCATCTGCCGTCGCTGATTGTATTTTCGGTCTCGCTCATCGGACCGCTGCGCGTCCGCGTTTGGGCGTCGCTACAGAGCGCGGTAGAAAGCTTGAACGAGACAAAGGTGCAGGTTGCACTCTTTGGTGGATTCTGTGTTGGAGTTGGTGCTGGCATCTGGGCACGGGCCTGAGCGTGTTCAGTCAAGTGCGCATTGTACGAGTTATCTGATTGAAGTGACATTTAGACCGACGGCGGGCACGTTCACCGTTCGCTTTTCTCTTCTGTAGCGAGATGCTGAATTTTTTTCCTCTATCGTGTACTTGTACCATTGATATAGCGGATTATTCGTTATATTTCTAGTAGTGTTGTATTATTTATGATGTACTGACGAGTGTATGCTTCGGAGAGATAGGGGTTTGTTTAGGCGAAAATTGCCTTTTCAGGCTTGGCTGAATCAATGTGTCACCTTGACTTGAACGTCAACCTGTGCGGGCCTCATATAACACATTCCTTTTCTTCAGCGTCGTCTAAAGTGCATAAACTCGTCTTATTGGCCTGGAGCCCTCATTCGCTCTGTCTGCATGACAACTTCGCTGGCGACAACAGACCAGCAATTCTCATCGGGATGGAATACCCAAATATTCAACATGACGAAGCGGCGCAGACCTCTCGGCCTTACTGATCAGGATACCGCAGCTGTGGTGAACCTTCTGAAGAGGCTCCATCTTCAGCTCGATGAGGACGATGAGGATGGCCAGGAGGTTGTCCATGCCTTACAGACAGTGGTGAGGAGGTCTGGCTCGTTCAAAGTGAGTTTCATACCCTACAACATGCTATATTGGCTACTAAACGGGTACTTGAAGCATTGCATGATCCCTTCTCCGATCTTGTCGCTGTGTTAACTCTCACTCGAGCAAATATCAAAGTTAGTGATGGGAGGAGTCAAGTTCAGCACCTCGGCGACAAGACAGCGCCAAATGCGTTGTCGCTCGACGAAACAACGAAACAGATTGGATACATAGAAATGTATATTGCGTTCGAGGTCAGTCAGATCCTCTGTTCATCGTTATGCTCACGGTGTGGCTCTGCGCTTTAGACTGCAGCTGGCTGCCAAACTTTAATCAACGCTATCATGCTGCATGACGTTGTGAACCTTGACACGTTGGCCACTGGTGTCTCCATCGTTCCCCAGTTCCGTATTCCCCACACGCCGTCGTGTTCTGGGGGTTAGTCTTATACAGGAGCTGTCGATAGATCGAGAGCAGGCGACAAAATACCCTCGAATTCTGTAAATAACCCGACTACTTTATGCCTTTCCGAATTTGTATCACCTTGACTTGAACATCGACCTGTCTGGGCCACATTGAACGCGTTCCCCTTCTTCGGCGTCGTGTAAACGCGAAAATACTCCTTTTGGCCCGGAACTCTCAATCTGTACAACTTTGCAAGTGACAACAAGCTATTCGATGTTGTTTTGGCTTCTTGAAGTCCCCCTCAGCACATCCTTGTTTAGTCTGCGCTCTTCTAACAATACTATTCCGGAACAGGGCCCTGTTCAACGATAAATTATCGACTAGCTTTGCACGACGGGTCTGGCGATATCTGCTGAAGGGATTTATCCTCAGGGGGGAGACGGGGGGAACTTGTTACCTAGTCCACTGCGTCGATGTTTCTTGTTGTAACTTGCTCCGAAATCTATCTTGCACAGAAAGGGCTACCTTCTCTCGGGATCGCTCCAACGAATGCCTGCTGTCCGGTGGCGCTGCGAGAAGTAGGGGGATCGCAGGGGAGCCCAGTCTCCGGCCGTGATACGTAGCGCCTACATTAGCAGGACTACGTACCAGGATGACGTCGACGACAGATAGGACAAACATCGCCAATCATTGCTAAACGTATATGATGCACCTCTTCCTGCCTTTCCCTCTTTCTTCCTTACCCCCACCATCAGCTTCATTTCTCCCTCGGACACCATGTCGCTTGACTACCGTTCTGGTCTCACCCCCTGTAGCACCTTCTCTCATCATCTGGCTCTGGGCATTCGTTCTTGGACCTTATCGCGGGTGGCCAATACGACATAGTGAGATATGCGTCACCGTTCCTGCAGTAACTGCTCCTTGACTAAATTGTTCCATGATTCCGGTGCTCTCAGTCCCAAGCACGAGTCCGGCAGCATATAGTTCTCGTTGACAAGTAGTGAGTTATAACCCTAACTGCCTTCATAGTCTGACCGGACTGTCCAACTACAGTCATCGGATGTACTCATCTAATCCAACCATGGTGAGCGTATAAGCTGCGCATATATTCACTCTGTTCATCCACAGCGTATCTCTTTAAATATCAGCGTGGTCCTTGACGTTCCTATGAAAGTTGGTAAGTACTGTACGATAAATGTGCTATGTTTTGCTCCAAAGGTGCGCATATATTCTACATACTTGTGTTCACTCGGTTGAAGATGTGCATATAACCACTCAGTTGGTAACTCTCTCTCAGGGTATGCCTCCAGTCGAGACACAACCACTTGCAGCCCGTGGTTTTCGAGCGGCACTCAGTCAACGGTATGAGTCGAAGAGCCTCAAGTTCTCTATGACACGAAATGAACTACTTTACGCCCTCGTATTTGCACGAGACACCCTCAGGCTCGCTGCGATCTATGCACCCAATGCATTCATGAACGGTGAGCATACAAACCATGCATATATTCGCTGTGTTGATCTGAACCTCATCTTTCCAATTGGCTCTTTACACACTCGTGAAAGTGTGTGCATTTGGTACCTGCCACTGCGGACCTTTATACTCCTATGAAAGTGAGCACATACTGAACGATAAATACGCTATGCTTTAGTTACGTTTTACTATAAAGGTGCGCACATATTCTGCAGACTTGTGTTCACCCGGTTAACGATGCGCATATATTCACTCGGTTGATAACGCTCTCATGGTACGCGTCCAGTCGGGGGAATGCCACTCCTAGCCCGTGGCTTCAGAGCAATACCCAGTCAACGATATGAGACGGAGAGCCTCTAATATTCGATGGTACGTAGTGAACTATAGCTTATGGCATCGTATCTTAACGAGACACCCTCAGGCTTAGCGCGATGTATACATGCAACACATTCATGAACAGTGAGCATACAAATACGCATATAATCGCTCTGTTGATCCAAACCTTGATTTTTCAGTTGGCCCTTTACATTCTCGTGAAAGTGAGTACATGTGGAATGATAGGTGTGGTATACTCGCTGTCACGTCCCAGCTTTCTCTGACAAAGAAAATCCATCCAATTACATAGGGTTGTCGACTGTGTATCTCAAAAAGTGCGTACATACTGTATACACTTTGTTTCCTCAGTAATCACTCCGTTCAAGTGGGCATAGGTGAGTCAGGCTACGAGCTATTACTGTATTGATACTCACCCCTCTCAAATCTACCCTCGCAGTACAATACCTCCGGCCGTTCTGTCTCACACAAGACACGTTCAACGCTGCACGTATACTCACTTTTATTGCAGGGCACATCGCATGTATGATGGTAACTTTACACCGCAACCTGATATGACATACTTACATTGACGAACACAAGGTAATTTTGCTTCTTCCGATAAGTTTTACCAGCGCATCATGACCTGCAGTATGCACTGCGACGCTGTCACCAGCTATGCAAGTATGAGTATACAATGCGCTAGAATAACTTAGCTTGCATCTATTTGCTAGCCCTCCCGAAATACGTATGGAAGGGCATGCCACTCGCAGCTCGTCTGGAAGAAGGGTGAGAGTGCTGGCACATAGAAGAGAGGCTTGGGCGGGGCGCGCGACTGAGCACTGCTGCATATACACTTTTTTTTAAAAAAAACCCAGATATATACAGTATACGTATAATATGGTTGGAGCCCTTTTTTTGTTTTGTTTTTTTTATGATGTCAATTTAGGTCTGGAGATGCTACGTGTCTATGTAGACATTACATGAGTATTTTACTAAGAGGTCCAGGGCACTGCCCTCTTCCATCTCCCGAGATCCCCTTCTGCACTGTCGACGCGCTCCCAGCAACCCGACGGCCCTGCACAGAAATGCGGTTTTCTGGAAGACTCTCTCTTGAAGGGCAGGTTGACATTAGAGGGTTGTTGGATATGTGGTGGGCATTCATTCTCTTATCAATTATTTGTAATGGGACAGGACTTTCAATTCAAAGGGTTGGAGGGATGTAGAGTTGCGGGCTGGGTTAGCCAGTGCCTGAAGTCGGGGCATATAAGTATTTGGTCTTGAGGGATGGTGAGTGTTTCTGTGCGTGGTATTGACTTTTACGTAGGTGACAGGTGTGTACCGTCTATCAAATAATGGTTGGAGTCTTACTGACTGAGAAAAAAATAGTCCTTCGAACCGGGATCGAACCAGTGACCTCGGGATGCCTCGTAATCTATTGATTACATAATTCTCGCCGCATTACAGTCCCACGCTCTTCCAACTGAGCTATCGAAGGGATATTATAGTGGAGGCTTAATAAAATTATAAGGGGAAGTAGAGAAAACAGAACAGAAGCGGGGCAGGAGGAGGAAGGGCATCGAATTGATCGTGAGTTATAAATAGATGCTGCGGTAGGTCGGCTCCGGAAGGCTCGGAAAGGAATAGGGAGAGGAGAGCATGGTCTTGACTCTTCCGTAGAATATGTAAATGCAGGAGATGAAGGTCGCGCCGTTTTAGAATCAAGCCGACCGTTGGCCGACTGATATCCTCGGCTGTACCAGGAGTATCACAACTCTTGTTTCACTTACCATACTTATTCGCCAGGGCTGATGGAATAACTTGAAGGGTTGCCAAGATGGCCGGCGCGGCCTATATAACGACTAGTCATGGCGCAGATTGCGACGATTTCTTTCCTCCACATATGAGCTCACTCATCAGCGGAATCGGCCTTGTTTTGACTCCCTTGCTTGTCCTGGCAGTTTATATCTACCGGAATGACCAAGCTTTACAAACCATTCCACCAAGGGTAACGCAGCTCATCGGCGAGCGGGCAACCCCTCAGAGCATTGAAGAGCTGGGTCGTAGACGCGCTGCTATATCTGCCACAGACGACACCGACTTGCAGGATTTACCGCCCAAGACAGGCCGCAGATACATTGTAGTGGGCGGCGTACGTGCTAACTGACCGAGCTCGGATCCGGACGCGCGTTAACGATGTTTCAATCACAGGGTGGCTTCGTGGGGGGCTGGAATGTCGCAAAGCTCGTCGCACGTGGCGAGGCGCCCGCGAACATTCGTATTTTGGATCTGCGCCCGCCCACCAACCCTCGCGCGATCGCAGCAGTCGCGGGCGGCGTACAGTTCATCGCGGTCGACATTACCGATGCAGTCGCGCTGGAAGCCGCGTTCACTGCGCCCTGGCCATCCGCCAGTGGGGCCGCTACGCCGGAGCTCACAGTATTCCACCACGTCGCCGAGATCCGCTTTTACGAGCGGCTCGCGCAATTTTTGCCCAAATCTGAGCGCGTAAACGTGCAGGGCACGAAGAATGTCATCGCGGCGTCGCGCGCCGCTGGCGCTACCGTACTCATCTACACCTCCTCCGGGTCAATCGGAATCCACCGCACGGCCAGCTTCCTGTGGCCCTGGCAGTCGGAGCCACAGAAATTTGTCCAAATCATCAATGACGACGAGAGCCGCCTACCTACGCGCGACGACGAGTTTTTCTCCAACTACGGCGTCGTCAAGGCGCACGGGGACCGCCTTGTGCGCGCCGCAGACAAGACACTGCTGAACAACTTCACGACAACGGGGGCCAAGAAGGTCATGCGAACGGGCGTCGTTCGTCCTGGGCAAGGCATCTTTGGGCCCAACGACGAGGTCGTCTGCGTTTATCTGTCCCGCGGCAGCCAGCCCACCTGGTGGCGGAATAGCGCCCAAAGTTTCCTCTACGTTGAGAACTGCGTCGCTGCGCACCTCTGCTACGAGGCCCGGCTCGTCGAGCTTCTGAACGGCGGCACCAACCCAGACATTGGTGGGCAGGCATTCCTTGTCACTGATCCCGGACCAGCCCCGACCTATGGAGATATGTTCACCCTCCTCAAGACAATGACAAACGGGAGAGTCAACTTTTTCTCGCTCTCCTCGACTGCTATGCTCCTATTCGGCCATGGTCTCGAGATATATTATTCCTTCTACCACCGGCTAGTTGACGGTGGATGGAACTTGGCACGCTTTATTCCTGCATTAAAGGGCGACGTTGTGAAGCTTCAACCCGCTTTCTGGCACTTGCTCGCCATACATGTCATTTACGACGATTCGCGCGCTCGCTTGGCACCGGAGAAAGGTGGACTGGGTTACACAGGAAAATGGACATCGCTCGAAGCTATGCACAAAACAGTTGAGTCGGCACTGAAGAATTCCAATAAATAGAACCTATTTATTGGAATTATGTTGTGTTCGACCCAAATCTGCGTTATAGTTGACGGATGATTTCTTTCAGTGAGGTGCCCTTGTCTAGGAATAGAGTCAAACAAACCACTTGAAAGTTGAAAATTGAAAGCTTCCTCAGCAAACCATAATCCTCTTTGGGCACCTCACCCATTGGTATTCTGCTTTGGTCTATAGTCGTCTGTGAGGGTTTGACAATGATGACAGCAGTCAAATGTTTCGCTTGCACGAGAAGAAGTCTCTGTCGACGTCGAACAACTAGGCCTCGTTAAGCTGCAGCCGATCAGTGTGCTAATCACCTCCAGCACGAAAGTACATGCTGCAAACCTGTCGCCGTGCATCGAAAACAGCGTAGCCAAGCCGGAGCGAAGGTAGCATGAACGGCACGAGTTCGGGAGAGAGCCCAAGTTGACCGCGAAGCTTCGAGGCTGGATGTATACGTGTCGAGGCGACGGCTCGGAGAGACGTAGAAGAGACTTGTGTATGGCTACATCACCGGCAGAGATTCGATGCGCAAAAATGGCGCGTGGTCGAGACCTTTATATCGGAACGAACCGGGTCCAAGTTGGCCTTGTGGTACACCCAGAGTGGTGAAGGCAAGGGTGCCTTGAGGAGATAGATATAAGAGCAGGCTGGAGAGGCTACCATAATGGGGCCAGACAAAGATGAGTGGCGGCTTTTGCAATGGATGTATGCGCGATAGCGTTAGCCATAGACGGCAGGGCTAAACGATAGCGTGGGTGCCGACGAAAAGTGTACTTCCCTTGCTGATATTCTGCCGAAATGCAGCAGCCGAATTGTAAAAGCGGGCTGCAACTGGAGCAATGTAGGGTGATAATTCATCCGTGTCTAGCTTTTCTGAGTGCCCGAGGGGCTCCGCAACGAAAAAAGATCGATGAAGGGAGCGCCGTCGGTCGAGCCTGAGGATCTGCAGCGTATTCTTGGGGGTGCGCGAGAATACCTGCGCGGTTTGACCTTAGCCGGTGCGCGAAAGAAGCAATCCGGTTGTTCAATGTGTCACGTCTAAGATATTTTTGTCGTCTTCCGATGGACCGTCGGCCTCCCTTGGAGTGGCAGCCGCAGTTCGTCAATATATGCATCGGCCAATTGCGGGATGGCCATACCTATTGAATACGCCTGAATGGAAGAAGCCATGAACACGGCGGTGCAAAAGTCCGAGGAGAGAGGAAGAGTTCTAACCCCACAGATGAAAGTGGGACACTGCCAAGGAAGAGTCCATTGAACCGGAGCTCGTTGTTGGAACTCCAGAGCAGAAAACGCGCATATATGCGGTCCTTGAGGTCCGAGGGCGTCATTTAAGAGTGCCTAGCGCACCGGAAGGGGGCATCGAACGTAAGACAAGCCAACCCAAGCATTTGAGCAGTCGATGACCGGCAAAACGGTTCCCAAATCGACGCGTCGTAAGGTGTACAGCGAGCAGCAAGGAGATGACGGCTTATCTATGCGTCGTTTGAGCGGGTCCCCAGCTGTCCTAGAGCTTGAGGTGCGTGAATCGGGGCCACCGACGACGAGAGAGCCCCGGTCCTGCTGTGCGGGGTCTTTATATATTTAGCTTGGCTGGGATGATGCAATTTTCGCGCCCATTGGCTTCCAAAAATGCTGGGCGAGGTGTAAGAATGCCAAAGGTCCGTGGCTGCGTCAGATTAACGAGAGGATTAACCTGGTTTAGCGAGGAAAGGAAGCGCCAGCGGCTATGAAGACGGTGTTAGAGAGGGGAAGAGAGAGACAAGCCCCGGTTGACCCGGGCACCGAGCGGATGTCCGAAAGTTGCCAAGATACACCTGATTGGGTCAACTTCACACAAAAGGCGTCATGGCCCGACACTCTGACTTTTTTCCGACCTGCTTTCCATCTCCACCCTCAGGCCTCCAGGCGTCCCAGAGCCCTGCATCCTGCGCCCCCAGCCCTCCACCTCATGTCAAATAAAGGCGAGAAGAGCCCCGTCCACGTGCAGTCACAAGTTGCAGCGACACCCGAAACAATGTCGACGACGGGAGACGTAGAACACAGCGGCCAGCGGAATACGGTTTCGTTATGGCAGCACCTCAACGCCGACGTCAATTCGAAGGAGACGACATTCCCTTTGGCTATGTACTGTTTTATGACCGGCTATACGTACGTCACCGCATAAAATATATGCGCATATACTCACTGTATTCTAGTGATGTTGTATCCTTCTCAGCCATCTTCGTCTGGTGTGGGTTCCAAACTGGAAATTTTGCTCAGGTACGCAGGTTGCATCATTTGTTTTTTCCGGAGACTGACCATTAGTAGTTGGCCATCGCCTTGTGCCGCCTGTTTGAAGGCGCACCGGGACACCGTGATCAGACATTCCACAAAGCAGATCAGCAGGCACTGTGCTCGCTCATCTCGTTCAACCTCGGTGCCTTCATCGGCCGCATTGGTGACAAGGTCGGCGCGCACAAGAGGATATGGCTTATCGCAGGCACGTTCATCCAGGCGCTCTTCACCATGGCGGCGGCCATCTCCTTCTGGAAATCGGGCCAAGGCAGCATCGCTGACGAGCGCGACGACCCCGCCTGGACCAATCTCCGAACCTTTGTCGGTCTCGCGTTCATGAGCGCGGCCCTCGGTGTGCAAGGAATCCTCGGCAAGCGTCTCAACACCCAATTCGGGACAACCAGTGCGTGCCACCCATTATTTTTCTACGAACAAGCTGATGACGACGCCGTGCCACAGTCGTACTTACCACCGTCTGGGTCGAGCTCATGTCGGACCCCAGCCTATTCCGCCTGCGCCAGCGCGTCATGACGCGCGACCACCGTCTCATCGCCGCCGGGTCACTTTTCCTCGGCGCCTTCACCGGTCGCGCCATCCTGGGACAAATCGGCACCGGAGGCACCATGGGTGTCGCCGTCGGATTCAGGGTGCTCATCACGCTTTCATGGATCTTTGTGCCCAGCAAGTTGGCCCCTGCGCGCGCGTAATGCACACGGGTCCCCAATCGCTGCTATATATCCCCGTATCTTGGACTATGCATACCCCGGCCCCAGCCTCCCCGATAACCGCTGTAAGCTGCAGACA